GAAAACCTAATTTCCTGTTTGTTATCTAATGGTAATTGAAACACAACAATTCATTATGATGCTGGGTTGTTGTTGTATGTGAACTGACAAGTCTCCACGATAAAGGTGATAGACATAATGAGAAAAAAGCTTTTTAAAAATAAAATCAGAGAGAAATTGAATACAAACGCCAGCTATAAAATGTAAATGGACAAGGAACCCAAGATGGAGACTTGTTTTTAAATAATATGAAACCCAAGAAGAATATTATTTCTTGGGATGCTTTTGTATGTTTGTCTGTATGTAGTCATACAGTAAACAAACCTTTATGTAGTCAAATTAAGAATCTGAGAAATACCTGAAATGATGAATCTTGACATTTTCATGCCATTAGTTAATGCATACTTTTTCTCTAATGCTCTATTGTAAAGGGATTTTAAAGTTTATGAACGGAAGTACACATATATGCATATGTATATCAAGCTATTTTATGCAGGTATGGATTTGAGATCGTAAGGATGGCATATGCTTATGTACAGAAATAAACTATGTAATGTCAAAAATAGATACTGAATTAAATATTTAGAAAATTATCTTTAACTACTTGAACAAATTTATAGGTTTTCAAAATCAGTTATAAAACATTGTCCCTTAAAATGGAAGCAAGTTTATCTTTGCCTAAATTTTCCAGTTAATGAAAGAAATGTTTAAATACTCTACAGTGAGATTATTAACGTCTACAAAACTGAAACAGATGCGTGTCTTAATATACCATTAAATTTATGATATACATAGAACCCTTACATAAAGCTGACGGAAGGCTGGTGCCTCTAATTGCTCTAGATTTATAATAACCTGATCTGGTTTTCCTAAGTACTGGAACCCTTTAAACAAAATTAGAAAGCAGTGTGCCTTGTGTGATTAAAGATGCAATTCCCGTTGGGGTAATGAGAAAAGTTAGAACATGTTTCTTTCTTTATAGATGTTTCTATAATAAACAAGACTGCCATCCATTATATATTTTTGTTACTATGATTTCCTTGTTTTTAATTATAAAATAAACCAACTGAATTTCAGTGGAGGCTCCAATTGAAACTGTGCCAAAATTGAGCTGAAGAATGTGCACTGAACTTCATAAAAATCCTTAAAATTCTTCCCAGGGTTTGGGGGTCTTAGTGTACAAATATTAGTTCATGATTTTCTAGAGCTAAATATCCTTCTGATTTAGACTGTGCAGAAGAAAGTCTTGCAGGCCTGATACACTTTCAACCTACACGATGACATGGAGAAAACTGCTCATGAGTAATGACTGCTAGATTCATATAGATTACAAACAGAAAAAAAATCCAATCTATTTTATCTCTTATACAAATAACATTTACAGCACTGTTTGAAAGTTCACTTGGTGAATTGCAGTGTACAGCTTCTAAGCTCCAAATCAACAAGAATACTTTGTTTTAAATAATGTGAACACTATTTCCGTTTTTTTAAGAAAAAAAGAAATAAGTCAGAAAATGTTAATACAAATATCAACACAAACACATCTGTATATATTTGTGTATCTAGAAAATAAGTGCATGCAAAAGTATTAATTCATTAAAAGTTTATCTCTCATAAAACCTTTATTAGCCCTTGAAGTCTTTGCCACTTCATATAAAATGATTTATCTTTTGAATAACAAGGTTCCATTAATCTGTTTGACAAAGGAATTTTTAAATCATTTAAATAATTTATTGGGATGAATTATTTAAATTCTGTAAAATATATATGTGAACATGTGTATGTGTACATCCATATCTATATATTTTTGTTCTAGCACAATATTGCTGAGAAAACACAGGGCAGTATGCAGATGCACTGTCCTTGACACCACCAGTCTGGCTGGCTGTGGCTGCCGCCGAGGAGGTCTTTGATCACCCACTGTTGGCACAGGACCCCTGTTAGGGGCCATTTGGGCTCCATTTGGCAGCACATGGTGATTTCATGTCAGAGAAACTTACACATTATTTTCTATATTCATTTTCAGTTTTTGCATTTTTGTTGAAATTGTAGGCTGACATAATTTTCAACATGTAAGGATAATAAAGGCAATTATTGGGCCATCATAGAAAACTGCTTTCCTCAGTGTGCTGGGGTAAGTGCTACTGGAGAGTGGCAAACACACCCCCTCCCCAGAGAAAGAAGTGGTCGGTATAAACAGATATGCCTGGAGGAGAGGTAGGGACAGACACCAGCCAACCCTGTGAACAGTACACAAAGCCAAGGGACGTAAGGATTCCCATAAGATGCTCAACAGGCATGCTGTTCAGGAAGTTTCACTGTCCACTATGTCTTCACGGTTATTCATGCAATTTTCCTCAACTAAATCTTGTTCTTTTTCCTCTGAAGATGTGTGTGTGTGTGTGTGTGTGTGTGTGTGTGTGTGTGTGTGTGTGTGTGTTTAACTTTCACAAAAGACAAACAATTAATAATCCCACAAATTTGGCAAGGTTACAAAACTTAGGGCAGCTTCTTATCACTTTTAATTTTAAACGTGCAAGAAAGTTAGCTTTTATTTGAGTCTCTCCTCTGCCAAACTTTTGTTTGTTTGTTTGTTTGTTTGTTTGTTTGTTTTGTTTTTGCCTGCTAGTCCCGCTCTGGGAACCTGCCTTCTGCTGGTTAGTATTTATTTCTTTTGCTCTTTTTCCTCTAGGGCGCTCCTCTCGCCCTTGTCCTAGTTTACCGTGAGTTCATTTAGTTTTCATTTCCGTTTTGTGGAACGAGCCTCTCAACACATTCTTTTGGGGTTCACTTGCCAGAGAGGTCTTAATTTCACACGTAAAATTGTATTGCGTTTTCGTGCCATTTGGTACACTTGCAAAAGCCTGTCTGTCACTTACGGAAAGCCCACCTGCAACACTCGGCACGTCACACATGTTATCTGCTACGCTCAAAGCTTGAAAACGAGTCAGGTCCAGCCAGGAAGCTGAGACAATTGTAAAAAGGCTTTGACATAACAAAGTAGGACTGACATCTTGGGAGGCAATACTCTAAAGAAGACTTAAGTTTTAAAGTCTAAGTTTTTAAATTAAGAAGAAGAAAAGAGAGACAGTCGTAAAGAAACCCCATCCTGGAAGTCCTCGGCCAGCACCACCCTCCTGCCCAAATCCTGGGATAGAACCCAGAGCCCCTCCATGTGCTGGGCCAGCCCTCTTCCACTGAGCCATATCCTCAGCCAGCTCACATTTTGTAGACTTGACTGTAAACTCTACATGACCTAGGAAGTAGTAGGATTACATACTACTCAGAATAGAACAGTGGGTACCAACCACTGAGGTAATTTGGACACACTTCACCTGTTCTCGGAAGCCTTCTGAAGAACAGTGGCTTCCGCAGCATTCAGCAGCTGCAGTTGCTCATGGAGTAAATGGAGTCAGGATGCTATCGTTGAGGATTTACCACTGTACACTTCCGGTCAGCATCAAGGTTACTTGGTCCGGATGTGACAGCACCACTTTAGCCGACGTAGGTATTAGAAGTAAAATAACCTAGAAATCTTGCAAGAATATGTTTATCACCATACGTGGTAAGTATACATACCATTGTTACTTATTAACAAATGGAGTAAGTTTATTTAAATAGCTTGTTTTAGTCAGTTCATTGAAATATTATTGTGAGCTATTTGTAAATTTTCACATATTGGTGATTGCAGTCAAAATCTGAGTGATTTCCAAAACTTAATTTAATGAAAATGCTGTATGTTCTTTTTAGTAAAAACAATCACAAATAATGGCAATTTGTTGAAGGGGTTTTCTAGTTCTTCTATAAATGATCTTATTGTTTATATACAGGTGTGTGTGTGTGTGTGTGTGTGTGTGTGTGTGTGTGTGTGTGTGTATGTGTGTGTTGAGATGATGAAAGTCACACTACTAAGACACTATTTATTGGCATTTGTACCCTGAGCTCAGCAAAGTTGAAATAGTGGTGGCCTTGCCACTTTGCATAGAACAACCGTTCTCCCTTGTACCCTTCCTGTCCCAATCACATGACAGAGGAGAACCTCAGACACTGCAGTCAATGGAACTTTATGTTTTTAATCCCAGCACCCAGGTTTTATTTGAAGGCAAAATGTCTTTGACAAATTATACATTATGCTAAAGAGCATCATACTTCCATCTTAGCTCACTATGACTCACTAAGTTGTCAAAGCCCAAACCTTACTTCTGTGAGCCAGAAACACATTTTAACCATTCTTTTGTCCTGCCAAACCATCAGAAATTTTATTAATGTTATCTTAAAGAGCAAATTTACTAATAGAAATTTCCAGAGAAGTAGACATTGTGCTATCACTTTACATGTTGGTTTTGTTTCTGTCTGTGCTTTTACATTATAGCTGTTCTATGAAATTCTCTTGGAATACAGTGGAATACTGGTTCATCGTGTCAAGAAAACCATACTGACTCTCACTGTATTTGTCTTTGATGATTGGGAGTTTGGAGTCTTAAAGAATCATCACAATGACCATTGTTAACATAGCCTGCTCCACATCTCTGTCTATGTTGGTTTAATTTGTTCTGTACCCCAGGAGCTCCTTAGATTGCCCTTATAAATTATCAGCTGTTAGGGCAGCTTTCCTCAGATGTTACAAACTGCTAAACCATAACAAGTCTTGCCAACAAATGCAATTTGTTTGCCCCATAAATATAGGATCACACAGTCTTTTAGTTTTTAATCTATTATTTGTCAACTTAAAAATGAGATTTGGGAGCTGGGTATGTAGCTCAAGGGTAGGGGTTTTTTTTGGGGGGGCGATTAAGAGATTATGTATTTCTAGCTTCTGGGGCTTGAGGCAAAGGTACCTGGGAACATGGGATATTCTTAACCTCACGCCAGCCTTGAGCATGGGAGGTTTGTTTTGGTAAACAAATGTGCAAGCATGGATTGACAGCGTTCTCCACAAATCCTCTTGCCTCCTCCAGAGCTAGCAAAGCGTCTCCTGCCATGAGTCACCCAGTGTCTGCTATTGTTTCATGTTCTCTCAGGATGGTGTTAAAGGAAACAGAAGTGCATCTTGACCCATGTGTCTGTTCTGTGGAAAGTTGGAAGTCAGAGCAACGGGGCTGTGTGGGAGCTAGGGAGAAGGTAAGATGCTTGTGGTCAGGCATGAAAACCCGAGTTGATCTCACAGAATGCATGTGAAGGCTAGCATAACAGCCTGTATTTGTAATCCCAGTGCCAAAGAGGTAGAGACGAAAGGATCTCTGCATAGTCTTGCTAGCCAGCTAGTTCAGCCAAATTGGCAAACTCCACATTGATGGAACCACTGTCTCAAACTGTAAGGTGGAGAACAGTTCAGAGTACTGACATTGACCTTTGGCCTCTATTCACAGGTACACACACACACACACAAAATGTACGCATACACATGTCTACATAAGCACATACATGTACACATATTCACATACATATGAAAATATATGTACACATATAAACACACAATGACTTGACTTGTCACCCACTTTCCTCTTATCTATTTCCTTTTTTCTTCCAGGAAACTTTGGGCATCTTAGCTTTAAGCTTCACTGGACACTTCTTTATATTCTGAACAAACATGAGTCACATGTCCCTGTATAAGACATGAAGGAATGTACTAAATAGCAGTACAGGTGCTTTTTTTTGTGTTCAAAGGGTACATGTGATGCTAACGTACTTCTTACTCACAGTTCATACTATGCAACTTTCTGCTTACCAAGTTCACATTCTTCGGCTTTCTCCTCTCCTGGCTGGCTGTTACCCCCACACCGATCCCCTTTAATGTCTTCTCATAAGCATTGTTTTCATTCCTGGACCCGTTCAGTTTCCCTCTGTGTTTATCAGAAGCAAATGCCATTTTTTCATTATTTTTGCATCATGTCGTCCCACATAATTATGTTTCACCAAGGGAGGACACATGAAAGAAATCAGACCCTTCCAACCCACAAACGGAAGCAAACAGCTTCTCAGGATTTTCACAAACTGCAAAGTTTAGTAGCCATTGCTCAACAAATGAGTAAGACTCGTGGCCGAAACCACTCAACACAAAATGTTTCAAGGCAAGCAAGCTAAGCTTTAACTTAAAACCACGAGTAATTGACAGCCCCCCACACACTGAAATTCTATTTTTCAGGGGAGAATATTTACCTAGAACCCAGACAATCTACAGAATCTGAATTAAGAATCATTTTCAACATCCCAATTCAGGATGTTTCCTGCATGCATCACTGATGTTACTCCTAATTTTATTTTATACTGTGTATTTCCCCAGACAAATTTCTAGTATGACTACAGGCTATCTCATGGAATGTTACCACTTCAGATATAAATTAGAAAATATGATCATGAATTCCTGCACAAGATGAGAGCCATCTATATGAAACATGTTCATATATATGAAATACGCTCATTTTAAAGAAAGTGTAAGTTATATTGTTTCATATATATATATATATATATATATATATATATATATATAAAATTTGATGATCCTGAAGATTGAGCTGAGAATCACTTATAATAGGTGAACTCTTCCCCACTGAGTCAAATCACACATTGCTGGCCCACAAAATATCTCATAACATTTTGAAATACTGGGTAATATGTAATTTCTAAAAATTAATATTTTGTGGTCCTGTTGGAATACTATTCTCTTCAAACAGTTTCACCAACTTTCAGTTAACTGGTCTTTTCTTTAATTTTGTTTCAGAGCACATGAATACCTGCCAACTGTTTTGCTAAATTAATAATTACCCAGCAGCTTCACTATTAAAACTTTATTAGAACAATTATCCTGTTAATTGGGTAGAGCCCATTAAGTGGAAATCATTACAAATATCTTCCTGTTTGGAAACTGATATTTGTATCTATTACTGTGTTAGCCAAGTCTAAAGTAAACTGACCAAGAGTGATGGCTCATACCTGAATCCCAGGATTCAGGAAGCTTAGGCAGGAAGATAAAGGAGTGTTCAAGACCTGCCTGGTCTGCACAGTCAGTTCAAGGCAAGCCTAGATAGCTTCAATGCACAAAACTCTTACTGAGCAACTGTATTTTGAATTTATATTCTCGAAACAATTATAAAACAAGGCACAGCAAAGCCTATCTGTAATTCTCTAACATCTACAGAGATATGGGAAGTGGAAACAGAAAACCTGAAGGCCAGCCTGGTCTACAGAGACAAGAAACTAGAGGGCTAGCCTGTTCTACAGAGAGCTAAGAAACAGGAGAGGAAGATCAAATAAGGAGGATTGTGAGGACCAACACCCACGGTTGTTCTCAGATATCCACCCTTCCCGTGTGTGTGTGTGTGTGTGTGTGTGTGTGTGTGTGTGTGTGTGTGTGTGTGGTTTGTCTGTCTGTCTATCTGTCTCTCTCTTGCACACACACACACACACACACACACACACACACACACACACACACACACACGCAGAGTTTATTTTTTAACTCATCAAGACCCTGTCTCAAAAGAAATATTTCTTTCTTGTTATCAGACAAGGCTCTTTTTGTTTGTTTGTTTTATTTTGTGTTTGGGTTTGTTTGTTTGTTTGTTTGTTTGTTTTGTTTTGTTTTCCAAGACAGGGCTTCTCTGTGTAGCCCTGGCTGTCCTGGAACATACTTTGTAGTCCAGGCTGGCCTCAAACTCACAGAGATCCTTCTGCCTCTGCCGCCCATGTGCTGGGATTAAAGGTGGGCGCCACCACAGCCCTGGCCAGACAAGGCTCTTATAAATGACATTAATAAAATTAAACTTTCATTAATTAGTGTTTTTTTCTACTTATTTCTATTTTCTATTTCTATTTTTCAACTCATTTCTATTAATCCAACAAATTGAAATATAAAAGATAAAAGTCAGTTCTTAAAATTGAATGAGTGATTTAATCAATTGTGTACTCTATATTCATAAAAAAAACACATTTTCCTTTGTTTATAGCCCTCAACAGAATATATATTTTAAAAAGTAAAATTTCTTTTCTTGATGCTTAATAAAAACCTGATGAATCTACACCTGGCTGAATCCTTTATATTCACTTCTTACTTAACTTCTACAGTTCAGTTCAATCAGGATTTGGTAAATACCACTTGAAATCACTTCACTCTGCAGAAGTTTTAAAAACATGACCACCGAGTTTTTTGGTTCATCCTTTCAAAGAAGCCACAGATGCTGTTTTTCAAAATAAAACTAACTGGAAGATTAATCAGTTTTGCTCACTAACACTGAGCGGGATCTATGGAAAAACAATCTGAAAATAGTCTCATAGTATGAAGTGCAGGCTCACTTGCCTTAATGTTAATTTTAGGCTTCTATTCATTGTTCCTGTGTTTGTTGAAGATCATCTTACTATGTAGCCCAGGCTGCCCTGGAACGTGCTCCGACTCTGCAGTGCTGGGAATAAAGGTATGCACCACCATACACCATCATGCCCAACTCTAAGATAGATTCATGCCCCCCCCTCTGTGTGTGTGTGTGTGTGTGTGTGTGTGTGTGTGTGTGTGTGTGTGTATGTGTGTAGTGGGGGGGGGGGGTCCAAGAGCCTTGTGCATGCTGTGTGTTCTAACCCTGAGCCAAGTGTGCCTTTCAGCTTTCCAAGAGCAACACAAAGGGAATGGCTCTTAGAAGATTGTCGATACTGAGCAAAAGCAGAGTGAGGCCAGAAAAGAACTCACCGAATCCGAATCCAAAGCTGGCCAGTTCCTCGTCCCTCATACCTAGCCCTGACTCCCTAGGGTCTTTTTCTGCCCTCTCCTCCCAGCATCAAGCAAGGACAATCCAGTGTTAACACTCCCGCAGAGATGGCCTTCCTTCTCAACTCTGATGCCCCAGCCAGGGCAACTATTCAAAGGAGAGTCCAACCTTTTTAAAACTAAATCTGCTCAGGAATCAACCACTTTCTACCAAACCCTCATTCTAATAAAAATTCTTATGAGGAATTCTCACAGCCTCTGATAAGTCTTGGAAGAGGATAATGAAAACTCCCCTATGGAATGCTTCAGGTTTCCACCATCAGTTCCAGTGACTTTATAGGGTAGCTGATAAAGCTGCATCATTCATGGATAACCTTCTCTTTCAAACAAAGCCATCAATTCAGGAGAGAAAGATCTCAGGCCATCTGGGTATAACTAAAATATATTACTAGTTAACAACTGGATTCCAAATGCAGAAAAAGTTTTGGTTAAGTTTTGAAAGTCTAGCCATGCTTTGTAGATACAAAATGAATTTTGGCATTATAATCAGTGCCCTCCACCTTTAATCCCAGCACTCGGGAAGCAGAGGCAGGGCAATCTCTGTGGGTTCTGTAGCCAGTTTGGTCTACAGAGCAAGTTCTAGGACAGCCAAGTGTACACACAAAGAAATCCTGTCTCCAAAGACGAAAAAGCAAACAAACAAACAAATAAAAAATGAAAGAACGAAAAAAAAGAAAAAGGGAAAGAAAGGAAAAAAAACACTGGCTGGATTTCTTGGGCTACTTGGCAACACGTCTTCATGGAGTTCGCACTGCGTGTGTCCAGCGGATTTTTTTTTTGGCGGGGGGGGGGGGGGTGTTTCGAGACAGGGTTTCTCTGTGTTGCTTTGCGCCTTTCCTGGAACTCACTCTGTAGACCAGGCTGGCCTCGAACTCACAGAGATCCGCCTGCCTCTGCCTCCCGAGTGCTGGGATTAAAGGCGTGCGCCACCACCGCCCGGCGTGTCCAGCGGATTTAACTGAGGTAGAAGTGGGTGGCAGGTCAAGGGAGGGACATTAGCCAGGCAAAACCTAGACATCTGATGCTGCGCAGACGTTTAAAGGTCCCTTTACGTCAGGGCTGGCCTTCTGCTGTCGTGTCCTGGTGGCTCACTGATGGTTTAGGACCTGCATCTGTTCTCAGCTACTGATGCCCAAGCCCAAGCGGACCAGTTACTAAACATTTTCTTGTTTCCTCCGTTTTAGTCTTCCTCCAGGGAGGTAGGAGTGTTGGGATATAAAAGGAGAGACCAGCATGGGGCCCCTGGCTCAGCTCTGCCTGCTCTTTCTAATCCTGCTACAGGAGGTGTTCTTGCCTGGAGGTTGGCGTCTAGGTCTCGGAGAGAGCCGTGTGTTTCCCATCATCAGGTCACATGGAAATGGGT